TTAGGATTTTTTTTTTTTTTTTTTTTTTGTCTTGTTATCATGTTGAATTATGACTAGAGTCCAGAAGTCCAGACCTAAAAGTTTATGCAGTTAGGTTAGAGTAGATTTAATTCCGTAGTTGATTTTCTACCTCATATAGTTGATACCAATTTCATGTGAAACAGATCTGGACTTTACTTTCTTGGAAATGAATCCTTTTGCCATTGTTGATGGGAAGCCCTATCCTCTGGATATGAGAGGTGAACTCGATGATACTGCTGCTTTCAAGAACTTCAAGAAGTATGACTGACACTCTTGGTTATAATTAAATTTCATCCATTGTTTGTGCATCAAGTACTTGCCTAATATTTTTTTTAATGTTTTTGACCTTGTAGGTGGGGAGGTATTGAATTTCCAATGCCATTTGGTAGGGTTATGAGTCCTACTGAAAGCTTTATCCATGGCCTAGATGAAAAGGTAGTACACCTATCTGTTAATATTTCTCCATATTTCTAAATGTTCTCCTTCAACAATTCCTCCCCTAGACGACTATATTCATTTGTTCTGGAAGTTCATTGAAGATGTTTCTTTGTATTTGGAAATCTTTTATTGGGTGAAGGGGTAATGATATTTGGGCATTTTCAGTTTTGTTATTACCAGTTGTCAGTATATGTTCTTATTATAGTTCAAGTCTTCAGGACTTGCAAGCACTAAGTATGACGGCTTGAATATTTTTGCACGTTTGGAATACATATTGAGCCTGATTTTCTTATTCTTGTATGTGAGTCTGTATTCTACTTTAGTTGTTTTATAAAGCATGTGCAAAATAAGCTTTTCGCTTATTGTGCTTTTTTAAGGTTTGTATGCCCTCGCAAGTTTGGTACTCCAATGCTTATGTGAGCAGGTTAAACTAATTTCATTTCATTAATCACTGAGTTTTCTGAAATACCATTTCAGTTTACTTCATACGATGAATCTAATCTATTTGGGGAATTTTTTGTTCTAAACTAACTGAAGCAACTGTTTTTATTTTCTTCTATGTAGACAAGTGCGTCTTTGAAATTCACAGTTTTGAACCCCAAGGGACGAATTTGGACCATGGTGGCTGGGGGTGGTGCAAGTGTCATTTATGCTGACACGGTGTGCTTCTGTTTGTCCACTCCAATACTTGACTGTCGAGTTTCATCTTTCAATTTTGTTGTTTTGGTTTATTGATAGAAGTTCTCTTTTTTCTATAGGTTGGAGATCTTGGTTATGCCTCTGAGCTTGGAAACTATGCAGAATATAGCGGAGCACCTAATGAGGAGGAGGTGTTGCAGTATGCCAGAGTTGTTATTGATGTAAGCATTGTTCCAAGTTAATCATGCATAAATCAATTACCATGTTGAATTGCAATGTTGAGTGTGTGGACATGCTTGAATTTTAATTTAACGTCTGCTTCTGTATATCGAATGAAGAAGTTGAGGCTTTCACTTTTGTTTTCTGCAGTGCGCGACTGCAGACCCCGATGGTCAAAAGAGAGCACTTGTGATTGGAGGTGGGATAGCAAACTTTACTGATGTTGCTGCTACATTTAATGGCATAATTCGGGCGTTGAAGGAAAAGGTGAGGCAACCCCTGTTCTGGTTTAGGGAACTCATTTTCTCGGTTCATTGGGTATACTAATGATTGGTATTTACATAACGTTCTTATGATTCAGGAATCAAGGCTGAAAGCGGCTAGGATGAACATTTATGTGAGGAGAGGTGGCCCCAACTACCAGAGAGGTCTTGCCAAGATGCGGACACTGGGGGAAGAACTTGGAGTTCCAATTGAGGTAATGTTGAGGATTAAATTATAATATAAGCAAGTTCATAGTGTTAAAAGATCTGCATAAAAGCTGGTATTGAGAAACCTTGGTTTCTAATATATAGGTTTATGGGCCAGAGGCAACCATGACTGGTATATGCAAGCAGGCAATTGAGTGCATAACGGCAGCTGCATAAGTCAGTTTCAGGATACACCATCCGCGTCGAGCTTGTCTGCCATAGAAATCTCTTTATATTATTATCAATTTGTAGTTTTCTTTGCCTTGAACCAATTTGTGGTGATAGTTCCTTCAGATTTTTAATAAAACAATTTGTGAGCAGAAACTTTTGAGTGGATAAGGGTGAATGTAACGGTCAGCAATTAATTTGAATTGTTTTTGGATGTTGGATATTCTAATATATTTATATTTAAACCTATCCTCATGCATGTAATTAATAGGGTTAATTAAGATTAGTATTCATTTATTAAACAGAAAAAAATAGGTAGGTGGTTTGGAAGTTGGGCTTTTGTTGATGAACAAGCCCGGGCCGGCCAAACTAAGTTTCCCAGTTGTAGTACCCAATACAGTAGTTACAGTATGGGGAGCCCCTGTTGCAAAAAACACATGAAACCGAGCAAAGCAAAAGGGAGAGGGAAAGGGAAAGGCGCAAGGATGCGGCGCAGAAGATCATTGGGTGGGGCGCATCAATGTTGGAAGATGGTGGACCAATGATGAAGAAACAAAAAAAGAAAAGTGATAATAATATTGATAAGGAGAAAGAGGAACAAAAGTGGTAACTCATCAAAAGCTTTCCCCTCAACTCGACAATCATTGCATTGCATAATACATAAGAACCAACTATTCAGTGCTTCTATTATCTTTATTTATTCCACTTCCCCCTCTAAGTAATAATAATTACATATCCATTCATAATTAAAAAAAATTTATATAAATTTTAGAATTGATAATTTGGATGAAAGCGGAAGCGGTAAACTCAAAAAAAAAAAAAAAAAAATAAAAACCTGGAGGTGCAGCGCTTATAAGCATATTATTCCGCGGAATTGTGATTTTCCCAAAGCAGCCCAGACTGAAGCGCGCCGGACTTGGTGTTACGACTCTCTCGGGTAAACAAATTCGGAATTTTGTTTTTTTTTTATTTATAATTATTAGTATTAAATATGTAAAGTAGATGAAGTTTTTATGAAACAGGTGAGCATATTCAATTTTCCCAATGCGACAAAAATACCACATGCTTCGGGATTCTATATCACATTTAAATACCTCACGCTTACAAATTTACTTAATATAAAATATGATTTGTTTTTGGTTTACAACCTAATTTTACAAATTTATTTAACATCACGTGCTCATTACATTATGCCGCCATACAGACAGAAGATATTCAAAATGGTAGAATCATTTGCCAAATTGCATTTTGATTATATAACTAAACTCAGTGCAAGAATTTTATTATTATTATTCTTTTTTTTTTTACAGTTGATAAGAGAAGCCCGTGAGCACAGACCCCACCACAGAGTAAGGTAAGGTAACAAATGGTTTTTTCTTTTTTTTTTATACACATAGAAATAAAAAAATAAAAAAATAAAAAGATAAGAAGGTGGAAGGAGACAAAGGCATGGGTGAGGGCAATGTCATGTTAGTAGCTACCCCATTCCATTCCCTCTCTACAGGCCCTGTCGATAGCTGTAGTGTGGGCCCTCTCCCAATATATTCCCCCTTTTAACTCTTTTAACTTTCTCCACAAAAATAAAAGAAAAAAGAGCGTATTCCCCCTTTTAACTCTTTTAACTTTCTCCACAAAAATAAAAGAAAAAAGAGCGTAATACTTCGGAAGTTGGAGAGGAAAGAGAAGGGGCAGGGGAAAGGGAGCACGTGAAGTGGCAAAGGCCAGAGGCAGAGCCGCAGAGAGAGCCGCAGAGACACTCACATTCTTCCTTCTTCCTCTTTCTTTCTGATGAATCCCCCAATCCACCATATCCCTTCCCTTCTTTCCCCTCTAACCCTCAAACCCAATCCACTGTTTGCTTTCCTTCTTCCTTCCTGCGGACCCTCAACTCTACTCAACCTCATCATCATGCTTCTTCAATCCCTTCCCCATTCTCCCCTCTCAGATCTCTCTGGAGATTGCCTTCTCTGCTAACCCTTCATCCATGGTACCAGATGGACTGAATTTTTAGTTATGGAACTGGAACTCTGTTTCTTCTTATGCCATGCCGTTTTTACTGTTTTTCCACTCCTCCATCTTGCTTCTGCTACCCTCTCTCCTTCTGGTGTCAACTACGAAGGTTTCTCCCTTCCTTCCTTCCTCCATTTTCTTTCTTCATTCTACTCTTTTCTATTTCCGAATTCTAATTTCTCATTCTTCTCTTATTCTTTTACAGTCGTGGCTTTGATGGCCATCAAAAATGATTTGATAGACCCCCACAATGTTTTGGAGAATTGGGACTCTAATTCAGTGGATCCTTGTAGCTGGAGAATGGTTACATGTTCTCCAGATGGATACGTTTCTGTTCTGTAACTATTCTTAATCCCTTATCTCCTTCTTCCTCAAACTTCAATTTACTAATTTCGGATTGTTTCTTTTCAATTTTATCAACAGGGGGCTACCCAGCCAGAGTTTGTCAGGACTCTTATCCCCGGGGATTGGAAACCTCTCTAAGTTAGAATCAGTGTAAGCCTCTCCATTCTTCTTACAATCCTCCTGCTTTATGCTCTTTGATTACTCACTTCCAGCATTTCTCCTTTCTAATCTTGGTTGAAGTTCTACAATACTTCCCCTATAGTATCTATCTAATCAGAATAATTCCCTGTGCTATCACAAATACATGTAGGCTGCTTCAGAACAATGACATTTCGGGGCCAATTCCTGCATCCATTGGAAAGTTAGAGAACCTCCACACTCTTGATCTCTCCAATAATGTATTTAGTGGCCAAATACCCAGTTCCCTTGGGGACTTAAACAAGCTCAACTATTTGTAAGTTTTGTAAGCTTTATCTTTCTATGCGTTCAGGATTCATTCTGACCTTTGTCAACTGCACATTACTTTTTTGAGCAAGGCAGGCGACTAAATAACAACAGCCTAACTGGACCTTGTCCTGACTCTCTATCCAAAGTTGAAGGTCTCACACTCGTGTATGCTCACTCTTACCTCTATATACCACTTTTCTATTCGTGGACAAATCCCATTCATACAATTAGGAAGAAATATATTCTCAAGCTTTTAGTTGAACTTATAGGGACCTTTCATACAACAACTTGAGTGGCTCCTTGCCCAAAATATCAGCAAGAACATTCAAGTGAGTCATTTTCTTACTCGTATTTACAAATACATGCCATCTTAATTGAATTAAAGAATCCCAAAAGCCTTATCTACTGTTTCTTTATTCAGAATTGTTGGTAACCCTCTGATCTGTGGTCCAAACAACTGTTCTTCCATCTTTCCGGAGCCGTTTTTGTTTGCCCCAGATGCTCTAGAAGGTATAATTCTTTTGTTTTGATTTGTTGCGTAACGTAGGTTTTTGATTGCTTGGGGTATTTCTTCTCAGGAAATTTGGGATTTGGTAAGAGCCACCGCAAGGCAATTGCTTTTGGGGCAAGTTTTAGTGCTGCTTTTATTGTATTAGTCCTTATTGGACTACTTGTCTGGTGGAGATACAGACACAACCAGCAGATTTTCTTTGATGTAAATGGTAAGTTTTGTCTATCTACTCTTTCCCCTTGCTCATTCATGGGATTTTGCTTTGTGAGGGATTAAGTAATATATTATTCAGTAGGAAGGAGTTTTATGATCTTGTATGCTTCTCGTGTAATACGTTTGACAAGTGTTATTGGACTAATATAACATTAATGGAACAGATCAATATGACCCAGAGGTACGTTTGGGTCATTTGAGAAGGTACACATTCAAGGAACTTCGGGCAGCAACTGATCATTTCAACTCAAAGAATATCTTGGGAAGAGGTGGGTTTGGAATTGTGTACAAGGGATGCTTAAATGATGGGACTCTGGTAGCGGTTAAAAGGTTGAAGGATTATAACACCGCTGGTGGGGAGATTCAATTTCAGACTGAAGTTGAGATGATAAGTTTAGCTGTGCACCGAAATCTTCTCAGGCTTTTTGGCTTCTGTTCTACTGAGAGTGAAAGACTTCTGGTTTACCCTTTCATGCCCAATGGAAGCGTTGGATCTCGTCTAAGAGGTATTTTGATTGCAAACATATTAGTACCCTATGCACGTTAATAGTGTGCGATGGTCATCCTAATTGAGTATTGTTTTTAGTTTTTTAATTTAGCATGAAGTGTTGCCTATCAAATGCATCTGGTTTAACAAAACAAGATATTAAATGTTCATTTGGTTCCATATTACTTGAGACTGTTTACTTGGATTTTTAATGCATGCTAGTTTCATAGTAATACCAACTAGTAAACGATAAGTGTGAGGCGTGTCATAATTCTCAATCCTTTGTTTATCAGATCATATCCATGGGCAGCCGGCTCTAGATTGGGCAATGAGAAAGAGAATAGCCTTGGGCACAGCTAGAGGATTGGTGTACTTGCACGAGCAGTGTGACCCTAAAATCATCCATCGTGATGTAAAAGCTGCCAACATTCTCCTTGACGAAGATTTCGAGGCCGTAGTTGGAGACTTTGGGTTGGCCAAACTTCTGGATCACAGAGATTCTCATGTGACTACAGCAGTGCGTGGCACGGTTGGCCATATTGCTCCAGAGTACTTATCAACAGGACAATCATCAGAAAAGACTGATGTTTTTGGGTTTGGAATATTGCTTTTGGAATTAATTACTGGTCAAAAGGCTCTGGATTTTGGTCGAGGAGCAAACCAGAAAGGCGTGATGCTCGATTGGGTAATGACTTCTCTAGCATGTCCTGGTTATTATAATATGCTGATACTAGATCAACGAGTTCAAGGGAAATGTGTGTAGACAATTCATTCCTCCATTTCAATGGATTAATATATATATATATATATATTAGTACTAGAAAGTTTCATGTTTGGATTGAACAAGCCATATTTTGGTGGTGGAGAATTCACTTGTTGCTTATTGTTTTTCTTCGAAAAATGCAGGTGAAGAAGTTGCACGAGGAAGGAAAGGTGAATGTGATGGTGGATAAGGATCTAAGAGGTAAGTTCGACAGAGTTGAGTTGGAGGAAATGGTCCAGGTGGCCCTGTTATGCACTCAATTCAATCCTTCTCACCGACCCAAAATGTCTGAAGTATTAAAAATGTTGGAAGGCGATGGGTTAGCTGAGAAATGGGAAGCGTCGCAGCACATAGATGCGCCAAGATACCAGCGAGCGTGCGAGAATCCCCCTCAACGGTACTCAGACTATATAGAAGAATCTTCTCTGATTGTAGAAGCGATGGAGCTTTCAGGCCCCAGATGACAGCCTTCATTTCCTTTCTTGTGTAATTCGGTGTTGCGTAGAAAAAATGTGATGGGTTGGCGTTGATAGTGTTGGTGTGTAATTCTTGTGTAAAAAGAAAACAAGAGGAGGAAGAGTAATGCATGGTGTTTGGTTTTTTGAATGTAGATGAGATCTGAGGAGGTTCTGGGATAGCAGTTCTTCGCTGTACACGTTTCCCTCGTTTCCGTTTTGGAAACCGTTCGAAAATAGAAACCAACACCCTCAACCTTAACAACTCCACTTTTGTCTCCACCATTAGTTTTTTCACTCCATAAAAGCCCCCCCCCCCCCCCCCCCCCCCCCCCCCCCCCA